CCCCTTTGCTTCTAGAGCGTCCCTCTGACTCATGCCCGTGCTAGTAAATCATTGATCAGTGAGTCGGCCTGGGGACTTCCGCTGGCCGGAGCCCAGTCACGTTGGTGGGTCCTCTCCTGGCCAAGTGGACACAACGGTGGGGCTCGGGCTATGGAACACACGTGGATGGGTTCAGACCACCCTTATCTACACGTGGCCTGGGGCAGGTTACCTGGGCGTGCTCGCCCTCGGTGCCTTGTGTCAGGGGGCCACAAGGCCCAGGAGACAGTGGTGTGACATCGGCGAGTGGCGAGCTCAGGCTAGGTGGGAAGGGCTCCCCAGCGCTGGTAGAAATGCTGGGTTGGGTCTAGCAAGGAGCAGGGCGGCCTGGTGGGTGCCCTGGAGGAGGGGCTATGCCCGCTGGGGCGATTGCTTGACAAAGGGAAAAGCTAAAACCAAATCAAACCAAACCCAGAAAAGCCTCATCTTTCTCCCTTGCAGGGGGTGGGGGTTTCAAACTGCCGGCCGAACGTGTAACCAGTAGCCCCCCAGGCCTCCTCTGACCCAGGGAGAGATGGGGGGAACTGGTGTTGACAGCAATCCCTTCCTAAGTGCACATTGCCAGTAGGGGTGGAGGGGAAGGGCCTGCCCCAAGGAGCAGCCAGGAATGCTACCGCATGAGCAGTTGTGCTGGAGGAAGGCTTTTCTTGCTGCCAACGGCTGCGCACTCACCATCATTCTTAATGCACGAGTACCCTGGCCCCGGGGGCAGCTCTGTTCTTTCCTGGCTTAGCCCTGATGCCCTGGGCCCAGAGAGGGGGACCCAGCCAGCCCTTTTGTCAGCCCTCCCTCCGGCCCAAGGCTCCTGTGACCTCCCAGGAACGCTGTGGGGCTCTTGTGGGACTGCCAGGGGCCTGGGAGAGACTGCGGCCATGGCCAGAAATGGAGACCAGGTTGATTTGAGAAACTCCTAACTTTATTCTTGCAAGCGCACAGCAGCCCGGTCTCCCTGACGAGCGGTTTCTGAGTTCAGTCCTGACCCCACAAGTTAATAGACAAGAAACGGCTTATTTATTTTACAATGATTGTAGGAGGAAATTGGCAGATTTTTAACAATGTCACAGAATACAACTGATACTCTGAGAAAGCAGGTGTTTCAAGGATCACCAGGAAATTACCTATGCCGACATTTCTCCAGGGCCATTAGATCCCCCCTTTCCCCCCAAACTTCATGCACCCTTTTTTTTAATCCAGATTGGGATGATGTTTCATGCCTGCTACTTATGCACCTGACCTGCTGATTAAGCTTAAAAGGAACTTTTACTGTAAGGAGGGGACTGTTACATTTTGAATTTTTAATCTCTTAAACTACGCTCTATTTCTAGTATTGATTTTCCTGTATCTGTGGCAGTGCGGGAGGTGTCGGGCTGCTAATTGCAAGGTTGGCAGTTCAAATCCGCCAACCACCCTGGGAGGAAAAAGATGAGGCTGTCTGCTTCGGTCATGATTCACAGGCTGGGAAACCTGTAGCGGGTCTCTGAGGGGGAGCGCACTCAATGGCAGTGGCATTGGTTTGGATTTAGGCAGGCCTATGTCCTCACCCAAGGTGTTGGGGAAAGAAAAATGCTGAACAGGTGACACTCAAGGATCCCTGGTGGTGGCATGGTTTGGGGATGGGCTGCCAACTGCATGGTGGGCAGTGTGAAACCACCAGCCATTCCCAGAGAGAAAGATGAGGCTCTGTACACTCGTGGTCAGTCAGTCTAGAAACGCCCAGGGGCAGTTCTACCTGTCCTGTAGGGTCGCCCAGATTGGGCATCGACTCGATGGTAGTGAGTTCTTTGGAGGTAAGACCCAATCGTCCTTGAGCCTCAAACGCTGATTCCTTGACATGGTCTCCTTCCGCCCACCCGGACAAGACACATGGCTGCCCTGGCCTGCCCCCGAACTCCCCGGACAGGCGTGACCCTATCTATTAGCTGGCGAGTGCAGCCCTTGCAGTTTGAGAAAGAAAACCTTTTTAGAAGTGTATTAACAAGGCAGTGGCTCTCTGCCCTTTGGCCACACCCGCGGGAAGTGGCCCCCTTTTCCAGGGCTCACGAGGGGCCCCAGGAAGGAGCTCGGAGAGAGTGGAGGTGGAATGAGCCGATTGGGGACAAAGCCTGCAGAGTCTGTTCCGAGTCACAGCGACCTGTAGGACAGGGTAGAGCCGCTCCTCCAAGTTTCGGAAGCGGGAAACCTTCACCGGAGCAGCCATCCTCATCGTTTCCTCCTCCTCAGGGTGGCTGGTGGGCTTGCAATGCCTGGTGAGCTCAGGATACCCCAGCTGGGCATGGTGTGGCCGGCCCCTCCGTTTGAGGAGTATGCAGACAGAGTGTTAACACAGCAGATCTCTTTGACTCTGTTCTTGTTCCTTTTGGGGAACGGCCGGAGCCTGGGCAGTGACCCTTGGGCAGAGTCTGAGAAGGAAGTCCTGGGATGTTCTCAGAGGCACCGATGAGCGGTGCTATTCTGTGCACCCAAGACGGGCGGGGGTGCCGGGGTGGGGGAGGCAGGTTGCACCAGGTTCTCAGCGTTGTCTAAGGTCACCGTGAAGATGCATGAGGTATACCTGGTGCCTGGTTTGGGGGTCTGCCCAGTGGCTGATTGTGTAGTGACTTGGCCGACTCTTAAGACTGAAGTGGCCTCCCGGGGTGGAGACAGTGTCCATGGGTTTGGCCTGCAGCTGGGGAGAAGTGCCGGTTCCTGTGAGCCTGGAGGAATGGGGCGTGTGAGAGCCCCGGCCTGGCCCCTCCAGCCTTTGCTTGTGTTATCTTTTTCCTGCAGTTCCTGCGCTGAATCCTTTGCTGGAATAAACAGTAGTCGTGAATATAAACTTCCCGTTGAGTCTGTGAGTCCTTCCAGGGAATCACTAAGCTAGTCAGTGACCACTCTGCAGAACAGAGTGAAATGGAGTTTTGATTGGGGCAGGGGGAGGGGCAGAGAGGAGCTGGGGGCAAAAAAAAAGCAAGGGAAGAGGCTCTACTTGCCTCTCCCCAAGTTCCATTGTCCAACAGATCAATGGCACCCTGAAAATGTCCACAAGAGTCGTGGTGGCCCTGTGGCCAAGTGTTCAGATGCCGACGGAAAGGCTGCCGGTTCAAACCCACCAGCCACTCTGAGGCAAAAATGCTGATGCTTTCTGCTCCCAGAAAGATTTACAGTCTTGGAAACCCCAAAGGGAAGTTCTATTCTGTGCCCTAGGGCTGTGGTGAGTCAGAATCAGCTTGATGACAGAGGCTTTTTAAAAGATGTCCCTGGCGGAGGGACACGGGGAACTGATCTTAATGATCTATATATAACTCCCTCCCAGGGGAACGGGCAACAGGAAAGTGGGTGAAGGGAGACAGCGGCCAATGTGGGACATGAAAAATAATTTATCAAGGGTTCATAAGAGAGGGGCAAGCGGGGAAATGAGTAGATACGAAGGGCTGAAGTAGAAAGAAAATATTTTGAAAAGGATGATGGCAACATGTGTACAAATGTGCTTGACCCATGGATGTATGTGTGGATTGTGATAAGAGCTATAACAGCCCCCAAGAAAATGATTTATTAATAAGTGAAAGATTGCCGTCCTGGATACCATAGCAGGAGTTTTTGCTCTGTCCATGGAGTCTCGTGAGTCAGAATCGTCTTTTGACGACTGCGGGTTTGTGAAATAAAAAAACATTTACAGAAAGATCTCCACACCCTAATCCCCAGAACCCCGCAAAGGGATTTACAGTTGCCACTGAGTTAGAGATCTTGAGAAGTGGAGATTCTCCCAGGTCCCCCAGTGGCCCATTGTAACCGCAGAGGCCCTGAGAACAGCAGGGAAGGTCAGACTCAAGAGAAGGGGGTATGAAGGCAGAAGCAGAGTGAATGAAGGGGGTGCGAGTGGCCTTTGAGCCCCAAACCAAACCCGGAGCCATCGAGTGGATGCCAAATCAAAACTAGAAAACAACAACAAAAACACCTCGAACAGTGAACTAGATGCTCCCTGGAGCCCCCAGAGGGAACACAGCCCAGGTGAATGGATGTCAGACTGCGGACCCCCAGAACCCCTAGGGATGGTGCATGAGTGGCATGAGTCTCTGAGTACTCAGGTCTAGGATGCTTTGACTGTGAAGGATGGAAACCTTGGTCCGAACCAGTCAGAAACCATCCCCAAGAGGGTCTGCACTGTGGCCATGTTGGGGGGGGGGGGGCTGCCCAGCAGGGTAGGGACGCAGAGCTAGGCCAGCTGCATCTCTGAGAACCAAGAGCATCAGGGGCCCAGCGAGCTAAGTGTGGGACTGCTAACTGCAGACAGAGGCTGTCTGCACCTGTGATGGTCCAGAGCCCGGTCCAGGCTGCTGTGGGTTCATCAAATGGATCTGATAGCAGCAGGTGTGCTTTGTTCCCTTTTAATCCATTGTGAGATATTTGCAACCCATGTCCCTTTGTCCCGGCGCCTGCCTTGCTTACCTATTTCCTAACCAGTGAGTGAATGAGTAGGAAATGCTGATGAGTGGGACATCTGAATTGCGAAGGAGCCCTTCTGTCCTTTTCCCTTGGACGCTCGGTGCATACAGGACGGCAGCAGTAATGGAAGCAAGCCAAGGCGAGGTCATGCTTGTTACCAGCTTCATTTTCCTTTGCTCAGGATTGCCTGGGTGCCTCCAGGAAAACACACACACACACACACACACACACACACACACACACACACACACACAAGCTCTGGTCATTGCCATCTGAAAACCAGCCTATCGGGTGGTGATGCTTCAGAATCGCCCCAACAGCAGTGAGTGAATTGTGACACACGGCTTTACTCCGATACCCACGGCGTTGAGTCGTCCCCAGTTAAAGTGCACTCAATGACAGTTTTAAAAAAAATGGAGCGGAATCTGGAGCCTTTTATCTACGGGCCACCCATCCTGGCATGAGAAGACGGCCAAGGAGAGGCCCAGCTATTTGAGCTTGGGAAGAAACTCGTGTGTCTCTCTGTCAACCCTGCCCAGGCCCTTCCTCTTCCTGCAGCCGCTGCTCCGGGGAGCCCTGTCCTTTGGCGCCTGGCTGATGCGGCCGGAAGAGTGCGACCTGCTCTTCAGTGCCCACCGAGGCTTCCTGTCCAGGGGTCAGCCCCTTTCTGTTCCAGGCCGGCCCTTTCCACCTCCTCCCTGGCTTGGCTGACCGACAGTGAGCTGAGGAACCTCGTCTCCTGGGTGTGAAGCCTCTTTCCTCGGCTGCTCCCCACAAAGACACCTGTCCCAGGGGGTCCTGTCAGGGCCCCTGGTGGGGCTGGGAGGCCAGAGCTCAGGCCGGGGCGCGGAGCAGGTGTAGGCAATAGGTAGATGTGCAGATGGCAGGGTCATTCCATACACTGCGCACCGTTCAGCCTCTGGCTTTAGCCGACTAGGCTCTAAAGGGCATTGGAGTTGTGGGGTTGGGGGTTGGGCTTCCCCCTGTTCGGGTCCCCAGCCCTGGGTCCCCTCTACAGGTTGCTTTCCTGTGTACCGCACTGACACATTACAAAGGATAACACAATAACCTTGGGGGGGCGGGGTGAGCTTTCATCGACGACCCCTGGTTTTCAGGACCTCTCCAAGCCTGTTTTCTCATCTGTGAAGAGAGGAGAACATGCGTCCCCTATGGCTTTGGTGTGAAGCTTAGACGTAATTTGAGTAAGGCTCCTAGCACCAGAGCTGTCGTGAAGACGTGCCCTGTCCACCTGCCGGGGAGCTGCCATTTGGTGTTCCCCTGAGATATTTAGAGTCGGCCTTCAAATCCCTCAGGCACGTGGGCATCTGGTCACTCTGCTGTCCACTGGAACATTCGATTCATCACTCACAGCCAGAGACCTGCCCAGGAAGGGAGGCCCACACCCTTCAGTGGTGCAGCAGAACCCGCTGACCCAGCCGCCAGCCTCTTCCCCAGAATTTCTATAGGAAGTGAGAAAAATCTGTGATGCTGGCTTTTATTAATGAAAACAAATGAAGGCAGACGTACGTTCGTTCCGATAATTCTCTCAGGATAGCCACCACTTTAATCATACCCACTGCCAGCTCGTCAGGTCTGGCTGACAGCAGCGCTACAGGACAGAATGGAAGTGCCCTGGGCAGTTCCCAGACTGGACGTCTTACAAGAAGAGAGAGCCAGCCTCATCTTTCTTCCTCAAATCAGCTGTGAGTTTGAACTGCTGACCTCGCAGTTAGCACCCCACCTCGTAACATGGACAATCCTCATTTAGAAATACATTCTAAAGTGGTGGTTCTCAACTTGTGGGCCAAGACCCCTTTGGGGGTGGAAGGACCCGATCACAGGGTCACCCGATTCATCGCAGTAGCAAAATGACAGTGATGAAGTAGCAATGAAAATAATTCTACGGTTGAGGGGTGGGTGGTCACCATGACATGAGGAACTGTATGAAAGGTCGCAGCATTAGGAAGGTTGAGAACCACAGTGCTAACGTTTCACTGATGTTGCTGTCTGCTATGATTTCCCCCATACCATATACCCACCTATTATAGTTACCTAACATGCTATTGGGGGTTGATTAGGATCTTTCCCATGTTTCGCTCACATGGGTCCCAGTTCCAATTTTCTCTTAGCGTGTTGTTGCTGTTGTTGTCACGTGCCATGAGCCGATTCCGACGCACCGCCACCGAGGCCCAAGAGAAGGAACAGCTGCCCGGTCCGGGCCAGGCCGCCTCTCAGAGAGTCTTCCTCATTCTCACAGACCCGCTGCTTGCGTGGCATGATGCCCTTCCTCAGGGTAGAGTATGAGAAGTAGGGTGATTAAGCAAAGGCAAGGCCCTTGTCGAGTTCTTCAGACTCATTACCATGTTGCTTTGTGGCCTTAGCGCAGTGATTCTCAACCTTCCTAACGTCGCGACCCTTTCAGACAGTTCCTCATGCGGTGGTGACCCCCAACCATACCATTATTTGTGTTGCTACTTCCTCACTGTGATTTTGCTACTGTGATGAATCGGGCGACCCCTGAGAAAGGCTCATTCAACCCCTAAAGGGGTCACCACCCACAGGTTGAGAACCACTGCCATTGTATTGGCCACTAACTGTGCATGGGGTTCCCACACTGTCACGCCTGGGCTTATTGCCTTTATTAAATATTAAACGCACCTTGGGTAATTGGGAAAATGTTATGCTTTTATTATTTGAATATGTCCATGTGTTTGAGTTCTAATAAAGCTACACTATATTTTTTCCCTGCCTGCTGAATATTAGCTCTGTCTATTTTGGCTTTTGTGAATTGGGGTTTATGGCCTTTGGCAATTTTTCCTTCGGGTCTCAGTGTTTTCCGTTTGGATTCGCCTGAGTTCTTTGTGCAGCAGTTTTTGGGGGGCACACTTGTTCCAATAGATTTTATTTTGCTGTTTGTCTTTTTAAAAATTCACTCAACTATTTAAAAAGTGTGTGTCATTAAATCTACGTGTGTGCTTGGACTTAAAATTCCGCCAGGACAGAAGGAGATCTTGGAGACTGGCTGTCAGCAAATCCACCGCCATCCAGCCTGTCCTGACATCAGCACTCAACGCTGGGTTTCCAGGGTCCATCTTTCCGGGGTGGACCGCATGCTCTTTCTCCAGGGAACAGCTGGTGGGTTTGAACGGCCGAGAGTCAGCAGCCCTGTGTCAAACCCCACGAGCACTCTCGGGGCTCCCATGTTCCATAGTTCAGGTTGCCTACAATCTATTTCCATCGCAGAATAGACCAGTTGTGGTGGCGGTGTGCGGGGGGGAAAGGAGGGCCCCCAACAAGTCACCACGGGTCCGGTAGCGCAATTGTACGGCGATACTAAGTAAAGATTACAGTGAAGTCATAGCATGAGAGATAGAAGAGAGATTGGAGTAATGGAGTCAGACACAATTCATGGTAGCATGCTCACTTCAGCCCCGCTTGGTGGTCCTCATGGGGAGACCTCTGAGAGCAAGAGACAGACCCACTTTATTGCTAACCAGGGGTTATAACTACTTAGGGGGGCGCGATTACAGGTAACCACACATCACAGGAAGGGGCAGTACAATAGGCATACACATCATAGGAAGGGGATGTCTGATAGGCTTAAGCATGACAGGAAGGAGATGAGCAAAGGGTGTCCCCATAGGAAGGGTGGGGGGAATAGAGGTATACATGTGACAAGATGGGCAGACCCTAGATTCATGATGGCGGCCTGTCCTTGGTCACCCTTGGGTGGGTTTGACCTCTCTGGGGTCTCCTACAAGGAAACAGACAAGTACTATCCTTATCAGAAGGGAGTGGGTGCTACTTGTTGTGACTGCTTGCTCTGGATGGCTGATAACCCTTAGGGAAAATAACCCCTGATCGACTTCTGCTGACCTCCAAGTGTGTGGTTGTTTGCCATGTGTAGCAAGCAGCTAAGTTTGGGATACATCTGGGGGAGAGAACGTGGGAGAAATCTTTGTCTCCCACAGCGTTGACTCTGGCTTACGACGACTTCCTGTGTGTCACAGTAGAAGGGTGCTCCCCAGGGTTTCTGACGACCATTTACCGGAAGTAGAGCTCCAGGTCTTGTTTCTCAGGACACTTCTGGGTAGACTCAAACCGTCAACCCTTCGAGTAGGCACTCTCCTTAGCCTGAAGCCCTCTCTATTTTCCCTCTTAAGAGCTCCTTGAAGACTCCGTCTACCTTCACTGTCTCTCCTCTGCTTCCGCTGTCATCGGCTCTTTAACCGTGTCCATCTGGCTGCCCTGAAGCGTTCTTGACTTGGGTCCCAGCAGCTTCCCTGGGGGCCAGAGTCAAAGGCACCTTCTCTCTATGGCTGGCTCAACCTCTCAGCACCTCTTGGCTCTGCTCACCACATCTTCTTTCTAGAAACGTTCCCTTTCGTTGCTTTCACAGAACCCCGGGTTCCCTCTTACCTCACTCTTGTGTGTGTGCGCCCTGGGGTTGATGACAGCTCCCAGCAGTCCCACAGGACAGCACGGAGCTGCCCCTAGAGGTCCCTGGTCTGTAATCTTCACAAGTCTTCCCTCCCCCTGAGCTCCTAGGGGATTTGAACCGCTGTCTACAGGGCTTCTACTGCTCCACCAGACGCCCCTTCCTCGGCTGCCTCCTCCCACTCTTGATCCATAAGGGTTGCAGAGCCTGGCAGCTCAGCGCTCAGCCCCCTTCTCTTATTCTTTCAGGCTGGCACACCTTTTCTGCAGCGGGCCCGAGAGCCACCGTTCTTGACTGGGTGGTCCTACGATCTCAGTCATCATTACTCAACTTCTCCACGTAGCATGGAAGCTGGCACAGTCTTAGCAAAACGTGTGCGTTAAAAATGTTAATTGAGTATCATTTTCACGTGTCATGATTTCTCCTCTTTTGGTTCCTCCCAAACCATTTAAAAATGAGAGACCCTCCTTAGCTCCTGCTGAAGTTGTTCGGGGCTGTCACTTCCTGTGGTGACTTCGTGCATCGGGCAGAGGAACGTAGCCCCGTCCTGAGCTGTGGGAAACAGGAAGATGTCCCCCAAGTCGTCTCCCCCAGATAGATGTGGGACTTAGGACACTGCTCGCAGCTAATGGTAAATAATTGTCACATTACCTCCCTGAAGGCAGTCAGTGGCCAGACTACTGTGGTCCCACCACAAGAGGGGCCCATTCACTGCTGTTAAGAACAAAGGGTTACTTCTCCCTAAAGGCTTGCAGCCATCAGTTTGGTCCCTGCAGGTGGGTTTAAACCCTACTGATAATGGTTTCTACAGTGAGCCAGAGAACAGTTCAAACCAGCTCAGTGACATCCAAAATTAAGCTGCCTCCCTGAATCTAGGATCCGCCCATCTTGTCACATGTGTACCCCCAATACCTCCCCTTCCTATTATGTGGATACCCCTAGATCACCCCCCTCCCATTACTGTATTGCCTATAGCACAACCCTTTCCTGTGACGTATGTTTTCACCTTTAATTGGGGGGCTTGCACGTCCCCAGAGAATATAAAAGCCTTGGTTAGCAATAAATCTCTCTCTCTTTTTCCACGTGGACCACCAAACGGGGCTGAGGTGAGCATGCTACCATGAGATGTGTCTGACTCCATTATTTCAATCTCTCTTCTATCTCTCATGCTCTCTATGACTTTACTATAATCTTTACTTATCATCGCTGTACCATTGTGCCTACCGGACCTGTGATGATGTGCTAGGGGCTGGTCCACACGGACACTGAGCCACCCTCCCAACCAGCGGTAGAGCTGAGTCCTTTGCCGGGGTCAGTGGGTCATTCCATCCCATTGAGGGTTTCCTTGCTTCCGATGACCTTGAGCTCCGGGGCTGTAGAAAAATAGGTAGTGGCCTGCAGGTGTGGCTTTGGTTTTCTGTCTGCTTTGCCCAAGGTTACGAGAAAGTCAGCAGTTCAAAACCACCAGGCACTCCCTGGGAGAAAGATGAGCCTGTCTATTCCTATAAATATGGACAGTCTTAGAAACCCACAGAGACAGCTCTACCCTAGCCAATAGGGTCACTATAAGTCAGAACAGACTTGATGGCAGGCATTTTTTTTTTTTAACCAACCTCATTACTTATCAATCTACTTTTCTCCCCCCATAGTAACAACACATGTATTATATCATCCAGCTGAGGATATAAACACAAAGCACATCTTAGCTTAAGGAGAAAAACAAAACAGTGGGTAATTCTATTCCTAGGTCACTACTCGACCTTAGCAGTAAAATGAAGCGATTCAGTCACCGTGGTCATTATCCCAGTCTTCCTTGCCACTTGGAGGCTTCTGCCCCCCAGCTGGTTTTGTCCTGAGGACCTGAGCCACTCAAAGTACAGTGACAGCCAGTTTGATGGCCTAGTATCTCCCCAGGTAAGTATCCGGATCACCAGCCTCCAACATGTCCTTTCCAGCAGGGACTTCAGCCTCAGTATCCAATCCAACACTTTCATTTCCTGCTTCATGGGTTGCATAAAGCTTAGAGATGATTTAGTTGGCCTGAACACCAGGATTTCCCACCAGGACTTGGAGAACAGCTTCGAAACGCCACTGCAAGCTTTTTAGCAGCCTACGGTTCAAGTCCAGGACAGGCCTCTCCACGGATGGGAGTTGTTGGCCCACTTGCTCTCTATTTCTCCACCTCCAGGTACTAGACGTTTGTCCCTTGTGAGAACTTGGAGAGTGTGGACATCATCATCTACTGCTGTTTCTCCATCATTCATCAGAACATCAGCGATGCCGCCTTGGATCACAAGGGTAGACACTGCACCATCTTCTTTTCATGCTTAAAAACTGACCCGTCCTGCAGGTCATCAAACAACGTGGATACCTGAAAAAGGGACTGGGAATGAAGAGGAGCAAGAGACGCGAGAAACGGAGGCAAGACAGGAGTCTGATCAAGCCTCGTTTATTGAGCAGAAGGCAGGGGCTTAAATACCCAATGGTGGGCGGGTAACATTACCTCATATGCTAATAAAGTGTAACGAATACCCAATGGTGGGCGGGTAACATTACATCATATGCTAATAAAGTGTAATGAATACCCAATGGTGGGTAACATTACATCATATGCTAATAAAGTGTAACGGGTAGTATCCAATAATCACGCAGCTACCAAATATGGAAGAAATGGCAGGCATCAGTCCTCAAACAGGTCCGCATGCAAATGAGGTGCACTTGGACGGTCCACATGCAAAGGAGGTGCACTTGGATGCCTGGCGGAGGTGTCCAATGAGCATGGCGGCTGCCTGCCACCGAGCACCAATCATTACAAAGGCCAAACTCAGGCAGGACAATAGGCCAGGGAACATCCCGGAATGGGAAGCTTAAAGACAGCGGACGGCGCAGGCCGTGGGCTGAGGGACGTGCAGACTCCCACAAAAAACAACCACCCAGGGATCTCCAGCTTCGGAGGGAGATGCTCTGTGCAATGCCCATTTCTTCAGGGACAGGAGCAGTCCATCTAGGAAGAGCTGTGGCACCGGCTGGTTGACATTGTCTTCCGAGATCCGAATTTGAATTCAGTCCCACCAACGTGACATTTGCTTGCATCATGAAGGGCCACGCCTGTGACTTTGCCACCTGTTCCTATGATCCTCCCCCTCCCCCCCAGTCAGCAATGGCCTTCGCTTGTGCATCCATGAGATTCCCTTCGCTCTTACTGATCCCCATCAGTTCCTCAGCGTCTTGATCAACACTGTTCCCTTCGTTTCTGTTATCACGCCCATTGAAAGGTCAAGGGTGCCCGGCCAGATGTTTGCATCTTTGATGGATGTCGGATCACCTCCAGGTTCCTTCTTAGAAACCATGCCATGTTTACTAGCCTGCTTTTACGTTGACTTGTTTCCCTGAGACTTCTGCATCATGGGACATGTGGCTTTGATCTCATTTGCTGATGTAACGCAGCTTCTCACGGTAGACCCCTCGTCTCCTTTAGGCTTGATGCCTCCCTGAGCCTGTGCATGGAGTTTCCTCTCCCCGGCTTAGCCACCAGAGCTTTGCTCTGGCTCCACACCTGGCACGGAGGCATCAGCTCCTGACCTAAGTCGTTGTTTAAACCACGCCCCTCCTCCAGTCCCAGAAGTCCACATCCATTGCTAATGATCTGCATTAGCCATTTGGCATCAGATCCTGTTCACGGTCCTGACTTTCAGTTCCTTTTACATTTCTGACATCTGGAGATTTCCCTTTCTTGACTTTGATTTCAGTTGTGCATTAACCCACGCTGCCTCTTAAATAAAGTTTCTATGGTTGCAGCAGAAGACGAATCCTCTTCGTTAGCCCAGTCCGCCATATCGGCGGAGATTGGGACGATGGCGGATCATAGTGAAATGTGACTGCAGTGGGTATAATTCTAAATGTATGCATGTATATTTCAGTGGTCCGTTCTTGCCTTTGATCACCCCCATTTCATTTAGTTTATGAACAGTTCCAGAGATCAGATCGAGAAAACAGGGAAACAACTTAAGAACAGAGCTGACGTGGCTGGAGAGTTGTCTGTTCTTGTTGGGGAGAATGAAGCCCCAGCTGTTGTCTATACTGAAGAAATGACACTGTGGGACACACCTGTGGGGACCATCCGCTCTGCTCATTCTGGGGCTCTCAGATGAGTAGTGAGTCAGATATTTAAGACGAGGCCCCATATGTTTTGTTGTCGCATCCAGGATTCAAGCCTTCATACCAAATTCCATCAGATATGGGAAAAGAGGAGACAAGTTATTCTCTTACAATGAATGCCAGGATGTAGGTGGGGAGTTTTGAAGGACAGCGACAGTTAGACTGTGGACATGCATCCGGGGAAGAGAAGAAGTTGAAGCCCTCGTTGGGGCTGTCACTGGAATGATTACTTCCAGGTACTTGCAGCCCCCGCCCCCCCCCCCCTCATACTAGCAGCTTAAAAAGAAGCTTTTGACGTGTACCGGGAACATATACCTGATTGAGATGCAAAACGATTTCAATGGTCCAACACAATTCTAAAGAGATTGACCCTTAACTGGGTAGCTACTGTATTCCAGGCACGGGGCCACGCACTTTACCGGCATTATCTTGCGGATGTCCGTGGCGGTGGTACGAGAAGAGAATCATTACGATGATTTTATCTTCCATCGGAGGAAATGCAGGACGAGAAGGCTCTAGCAACATGTGACCGGCACCTGCTTGGCAAGTGAAGAGCATCAGGTGTGAGTTAGTGTGACACGACGGAACTTGGTAGTTGATTGGTAGTCTGTGACACGATTAATGGCATACGATGACTAGTATACAGTCAGGTAGTATAAAAATCAGGTTACTACTATATCATCAGGTAGAACTTCCCCATAGGAATGTTTGGCCCAGATGGGTTGGGTTCAAGGAAGGGGGACAGAGGAAAAGGTTTAGACTAGGAACACACGAGAATCCTCACCCCAGAGTTCCAGGTACATTGTATGATATAAAGTAGGCATTTTGGTAGTGGTGGTGGTGGTGGTGGTGGAGGTGGAGGTGGTAGAACTGATTAGATGAAGGGAGACGAGCCAAAGGCAGAGGATGGAGGGTTCCCTCAATTGGATGCTTCATTTGCTGTGATCGACTCGCACGCAGGATCAGAGGGTGTTTATGTGAAGGAAACAACCAGCGACCTCTTTCCCTGCCGTTATTCCATTTCCTGAAGTACCATTGGCTTCTCTTCCCCTTTTTCTAAATGTGACTTAAAATCAGGAAGTTGCTGAGATGTTGGAAAGGAAGCAGCTGAGTTAAAAAGAAAACACCAAGGGGCGTTGACAAGAGGAAGGTGGGGCCTTCTCGTTTCTGGTGCAAACACCTGGGCTTTGGTTTTGCCGGTGAAACAGGACCATGTGGCTGCCCCCAGTGCTGCTCCTTCTCGGTCTCCAAGGTGAGTGGGGCTGGGCTTGGGGAGTCTGGTGCTTCAGGGGGCAGATAGTGGGTAGAAAGGCCAGCCCTTGGGTTAAGCCAGAGGTGAAGTGCCAGCAGAAAGGAGAAGGTTACACCCATTTGACCATTTTTTACCTCCTTCTATACATGCGAACGTTGATCTCTAAGTCCTGCCAGCATTGACTAACCAGCAAGTCGGTACCACGCATGATGCTTCTATGTAACATTTGCACGGGGGAGGCTCAAGGCTGGCCGAGAGAATTAAGTCACTGATACAACGTGGAGCGTGCTATGGTCAATACGAGACTATGTGGAGCTTGCTTCGACAAAGATGCATATACATCTTGTCGAAAAGCGCACCACAGGGACCCCTCAATCTGAAAGAAGGAAGGGGTCCCCAAAGCTTCATTGCAAGTCGGTCCTGAAGGATGAATGAGTTGTGCAAACTGAAAATGGCCGTATACAAAAGTGGAGCGACGTTAACAACCGTGGAAGGTGCACGGATGAGCCAAATAGCTCTGTTTTCCCAGAACTTAGATCCAAGGGGCGGGAAAGCTTTGTGAGAAGAGCATACTGAAAGGTCGCCAAGGCCATCCTAGGCACCTGCCTGCAATCCTTGCCGGAACCAGGGTGGAGCAATCAAGAAAATGGTGTGACAACATTGGACCTTCAGAATACGTATTTTAAAAAAAGACTCATAATTCTTGATCGAGTGAGGGAGTTATTAAGTGACAGGATCTGTAAATTACTTGCCAATAAAACTGTTGGAGAAAAAAAAAAGTTCCCCGTGCGTGAACACACATTTTTCTGCGGGAGGTGCTTTCAGGATAAAACCCCGAGGATGCTCTTCCTTGTAGCAGAATGATGTTTACTGTTGCAGTGCCTCCCTCATGAAACAGGAGGCTGCCCGACATAGTGGCCAGACTCTTCCCGGATGGTGGCTGGAAAAGACAGAGATGGAACAGGGGAGGACTAGCTGGTGACATGAACAAAAATAGTGTTTCCTTCTTAGCTAGAGGAGCGAGTGAACTGGGTGCTCCCTAAGATCCCTAAGGGACGTTCCAGTCTATGAGCCCAGACTCAGACTGACCTGGGCGAGGGTGCATCTCATCCCACACGGCGATGTGCAGTCTCAGGGAATGACGGTGCGGATGGTGGGCACTTTGTGCCACTTTGTGCCACTCTCACGAATGATATGGGCACCCCAACAGTGGTGACTGGAGCTGTTTATACCAGCTCCTAAAAGCTGGTGAAGGTTAGACCGGAGCATGTGCACAGGTGCGGATAAGAGATAGGAGGTCACAACACAAGGAATCTAGGAACAGGAATAGGAACAGTGATACCAGGAGGGGACAGGGAAGGTGGGGAGACGAGGGGAGGAAGGGGGAACCAATCACAGTGATTGACACAAAACCACACCCTCCCCTCCAGGGGGACCAACAACAGAAACCATGGAGGAAGGGAGACACCAGTTAGCGTAAGATATGAAAATAATAATAATTTATAATTTATCAAGGGGTCATGAGGGTGGGAGGGGAGAGGGAGGGGTAAAAAGGAGCTGATAAGGGTTCAATAGAAAGTAAATGTGTAGAAAAGAATGATGGCAATGTATGCATAAATATGCTCGATACAATTGATGTATAGATTGTAATAAGAGCTGTAAGAGCCCCCAATAAAATGATCTTTTAAGAATAATAAAAGCAGGTGATGGGCATGTCTTCTGACTCCACATTCAGGGGTGGCATGTTAGCTTGAAATCTCTTGTGGCGAGAGTACTGACACCACAGGAATCAGCAAAGGCCATCAAGCAAGGCCGCCTCTCCCCTCCTCCAGAACTGGTTTCCTGACAGACGGCTGCTTGTGGGGTCCTTCTGCTTAGATCTGGTCACTGTCACCTAAATGTCCTAGCCTGAGCGCACTTAAACTGAAGCCGGAAACCTCTTCCCACCTGTCTTGGGTGAAGCGGGCTGAGCACTCCAACACCACAGCCCCGCCTTTCATCCGGGGTAATTTGCGCCGGGGCTTCCTCCCCTTTGCCTCACAGCTTCCACCCCAGCTCCTTGCTTCCCTGCCCCAGCATAGTGCTCCACCCACCGCCCCCCACCCCCACCCCACTGGGCGGGTGTAACAGACGCTGCTTGGAAAACGGTCATCACTTTAAATCTACTGAGGGGACCCGAGAGGGTTGTATTGACAGAGAAGGAGGGACGAGTGTTAGTCCAGGTAGACTAGAGAAATAAATCCAGGGAGACTCATGTGTGTAAGAAGGAGTTTTCTATCAAAGAACAACTGTGTATTGAGAAACAACCCAGTCTAGATCAAGTCCATGAGTCCGATATTAGCTCGTATGGTCTGATATCAGTTTATAAAGTCCTCTTCAGACTCACGCAACACATGTAAAGATGCCAAATGCAGGAAGGTCACAGGCCGGTGGGTGGGAAGTCTTGTGGATCCAGTGGCGGTGGAAGTGTCTTAGCGCTGACCATGGGTCTCACATGGCTGTGGGTCTCCACGTGGCTCCTCCGGCTCCAGGGCTCTGGCTCCATCAGCGTAGCTCCATGTGGCTTGTCAACAGGAATGTGTAGCAG